GGTAGGGGACAGAGGGCAGCCTTCCTGAGGCCTCTCTTCTTTCTCCTCCTCCGGGACAGGCCCAACCGCGCCCCAGCTGGGGGGAAATGGACACCGCTGTCCATCGAGGGTCCCACAGAAGGTGGCAGGCCGGCAGGAAGCTCAGGGTCAGGGCGGGGGTTACAGTCCCACAGTGTAGGTCACCCCACAAGAGGCGGGTGCCAGGCCCTGCGGCAGAGGAACTGCATCCCCCGTGGACCAGAGGGCAGGGTGGGGCTGGCGCTCTACCCCACAGGGCCCTGCTCAGGTCAAGAGAGAATGGAAGTCAGGCCCGTGACCCCGGCTGGGGCTCTGCAGTGGCCATCGGGCCATCAGGAGGGAGCTTTGTTCCGGGTGCCTTAGGGATACCATCCTCTCCCGCAGCTGGGGGATTCAAAACTTCCCAGAGCGTGCTGATCAAACATATTTTCTAGGGAGAACAGCCACCCAAATAAAACCCCTCCCCCTGGTGGACCCGCTGCTGTGAGAGACGACGAAAAGCTTGAGCTATGGACGTGACCCTGGGGTCGGGGCCACCGCCGGGAGGAGTTCCGAGTCTGCGGCTCCGGAAATTCGTGGAGCTCTGCCAGGCAGCTTCCCTCCCAGTTCAGGGATGCCATCCTGGGGGTCCTAGGCATTTGGGATGCAGGAACCTCTCCTGGGAGAGGCTGGGAGAGCTGCCCCACGGTGTCTGCAGCTCCAGGTCCGGCCGTCGGGTGTGGGCGATAGGCTGCCACACAGGGAGACGCCCAGTCCTCGAGCTGGCCAGCCTTGGGAAGTCGTCTCGTCCGCGGGCGACTACAGTGGCTCCTCTTGTGCAAGCGCGGTCCGCTGTTCTAATTGTCAAACCATGGCAGCAGCATACTTAGGTATCAAAGCTTTAATGCCTGAAAAGAGCAGAATCAGGCAGTGGGTTTTCACATGGTTCTGTGGACCTTTGTAAAGATGTGTGCTCCCCGCAGGATCCTGGCAGGGTGCTGACTCTCCAGCGGCTGTGGACATTGCCTCAGTTGCTTTAGCTCTAAAACAAGTGGGTTGGACCCAATCATTTCTAAGGTACCTTAAAGTCCTTAAATTTTTAAAAGGCCAGAGTCCGTGGGAGGTCACCCTCATGGTCTTTGTGAAGCGCCGGTCCCTGCCCTCCAGCTGGTCCACAGAAGAGACACAGGGTCCCCGGATGCCTGTCCCTTCCCTGGCCTCTCCTGGGCCCCCTGCCCCCCTCCTCTGCCCCCACCCTCCTTGGAGGTTCCCCAGGCCTCTGTGTCGACATCCAATGGCTGTGACAACGATAATGCAGGTCTGTCCTCTCTGAATCTTTCAGTCTGGAGGGGCAGGCCAGGAGTTTGTTATTCTTTCATTTGAAAGATGATGATCTGAGGATTAGAGAGGGCAGCCAGGAAACAACACGTGGACTGGAATCCCGGGCTCCTGAAGTTCTTTGCAAATCCACGCAAGAGGCCCAAAACTGTAGGCAGATTTTTATAAAGAGGAACGTAACATTTTCCTTATGGATTGGGGCCCCTTTGAGAATACTCACTCCCGTCAAATCATTTGTGGCAAAGCAGTTTGTTTTGTTTCATTCAGGAAGTTCAAAAGGAAATAACTTTTTAAAAAATCCAATAAATTTAAAGAGAGAAAATGTTAAATTGCATTTTGTAAGCAGTAAGTTCTCAAATCTATTTCATTTCCTAAGTGTGTAATCTCAAATGCATTTTATATCCTGAATACATATCCTGCATTTAAATAATACCAGGAACAGGCAAACCAATCGACAAGTGATAGTATGCTCATTGACAACCTGAAAGTTTCTTCTCGTCTTCCTGGCCACAAAAAGACTGTATTTTCCTATTTCATGTTTCCTTAGAAATAACATAACTTGGAATTAGTATCTCAGCTTTTCTCTATAGCTGTGTTACACTATTAAATGGGGTTAGGACCTCCTAGAGTGGCTCTTTGGGTTTGTTTTTCTTTCCTTTTAAAATGAATTTAGGAAAAGTGTACCCCAAGAGATGGGGAGTTTTCAGAAACATCCCGCCACCCTGTCCAAAGCTTCCACTTGTAGATTTCTTGCCGAGCACCAAAGTGCAAACCTATATATTTTGGAGCATTTAAATAAGCTCTGATTTTGTTGTCATAGGTAACTGAGATTTTTTTTTTAAAGCAGCCTAAAATTGGAATAGAAAATTTCTCCTGTTTCATTTAACAAATATTTCTGCTGAATGAGCCCTGAAGTGTTCAGAGAAGGAGGCATAGTGGAGATGCCCTCTGGAGCGACGCAGGATTTTATCAAGAGGAGGAAGCAGAAAAGAATAACATTAATAAAAGTATAGAGGGAGGACAGTGCCAGCATTTGGGGGAAATGTTGAGAAGTCTGGGTTAATAACTGTTGTTAACTGGGTTAATACTGGAAAGCAGGTTGGTGTGTAAGGAAAGCCAAGGAGTCTGTGCCTTACCTGGCAGTGGGGAGCAGTTGGAGGGTTTGAAATAATAGGGGAATAACAATCAACATCAGTGAGAGAGATTTGGTTCTGAAACCCTAACCTCGCCTGGGCTGTGGGTTTTCTGCTGCTGGGACCAGCCCCAAGGGAGAGGAAGAGGGGTCTGTGGGACTCAGCTGAACCAGCTATAAGGGGCTGCTGAGGTTAGGTAACCAGGAATGTGGTTGAGAAGAGATGAGATAACAGAGGGGAAATGTGGACAAGGAGAGCACGGGACAGGATGGGGAGCTGCAAGGCTCCGAGGGGTTGAGGAGGCAGTGTGGGGTCACTGCAGGGTGCAGGCCTGGTCGAGCACGCAGCCGCAAGGCTGTAGACAGCAGCCGTGTGTTCACTAACCCATGGGCCTTCTAGGACAGGGACCACCTCTGCACCACCTTTGGACTGCTGGCCTCTGCTTCCACGGTTGCCCACGTGGGCACTCAGCTCACGGTGTTGCTTCGGGCTCTCCTCTGATTCAAGGCATGGCGTATCAGTGGTGAGGGGTGCAGGCAGCCTGGAGGCTCTGGGAGCCCGGGCTGAACGGGGAGCGCCTCCCAAGGTGCTGTCCTCTAGCATTGTCCTCCTTAAGTTGTGTCTTAGTCTGTTCAGGCTGCTATAACAAAAATACCACAGAATGCGTGCTTACAAACGAGAAATCTGTTTCTCCCAGTTCTGGAGACTAGGAAGCACAAGATCAAGGCTACAGAATTTGGTGTCTGGTCAGTGTCCACTTTCTGGTTCTTTTTGCTCTGTCCTCACACAGCTAAAGAGATGAGAGCTGTCTGGGGTCTCTGTTCAAAGGGCACTAACCCCATTCATGAGGGCTCCACCCCCATGATCTAAGCACCTCCCAAAGGAACTGCCTCACACCATCACACTGGGGGTTGCGTTTCAGCACATGAACTTCGAGGGCCGGTAGATAAGCAGTCTGTAATGTGTTAGGTGGTGGATGGGCTTACAGATTGCTAGACTAGACAAGCTTTTCTGAAAAACAGCATTCTAAAATTTTAAAGCAGTGTGTTCACTAGGAAAAAAAAAAAGGAGGTTTCAACATAAAACACTGACAAAAGAGAAGCCTGAATCCTTGCTATTCATTATGAACCATGTATTCAAAAATGTATCTAATGACGATGAGCTAGACTTTTACATATTCTCCTTCTAAATCTCAAAATACATTTTGAATTAAATTTAAAATGCTCAAGTTCTATAGTCATTTTTGTAGACACGCTTTCAGCAAGTCAACATTTTGTGTATCGCTGCTGTGTGTGGAACTCTGGACAAAGTCCTGAGACAAGTATAAGCTTGTTTCTTTCCACTGTTTTTTTTTTTCAAGGAGGGATCAGAGACCTTTTAAAAATGTTTTTCTCAGAGTGAGCTTTAAGTTTGCATTATTGTTATAAACGTTCTGTAATGAACCCACCAGTGTTTACGTGGCTTCATTTTTATTTGAGTGTGCAATAAACGTTTACTGTCTTAATATGAGATTTGCTTTAAGAACAAATTGCATTTATTAGCATTATTCAGCAAACTTGCATGAACTCAGCAAATAAAGTAACTAACATTCTTACTATTTAACATCTATAATATTCTTATGCCCATAAAGGCTGCACTTTGAGAAGACAAAACAAACTTGGGGCTTTCATCTTGCCTCTTTTTTTCTCTCTCTCTCTCAGTAAAAGATAAAAGAATGAAATGCCATTTTGATGGTTCCCCACCCGTCAGGCAGCGTGTGGGTGGAGGGTGTTTTAAACATTCCCACTCACGACAGAATGCCTGTGAAAGGGAAGAAGCCGCACAGATCACCACGATGCCTACTGAATCGGAGCTGGTATAGTCCAGAAGGGGCTGCTTTAGTAAGAAGGCACCAGCAAATGCTTCTACCAGACCAAAGACAAGGCCACATGAAAAAGCATCTGGGGTCTTCTTGCTCCTACAGCACATCTCTTTGTATCCATTGTATCAAGTCTATACCTTTCATGGGCAG